AACTATTGTTAGCGGTTTGTTTAACATTTTTTCAACTTGCTCAATGTTTATTTAATTATAAAGATAGATGTATTTTTTGACTCACTCGTTAGCTAGGGCCAACCCAGTCTTGTATTAGGCGAAGTCATCGCACCTCCAGTGGCAGACCTATTACTTTTCTTGAGTAGGTATACCTTTAGGTGGATCAAAGTCTCGCAAAGTCCGGATTTTGATTAGAGGTAAAAGTCAACATGGTTTGACCCAAAAGAAAGTCAATTATGTTAATTTCGAGAAAGATACGTTTTTTTTCTAGATTCAATCGACATGGGCTTTTTGAGCAAAACACAAGGCTACATCTTACGTCCAACGTCCACCTCAACTTTTTTGTTCTGTGGTTGATTTCATAAAAATTTCCAACTTTAGGATTTGATATTGATTGTCCAATCATCAAGCCACTTACTTGGTGTCTAGCTTCCCAACTGGAAGACGGGATGTTTTTTTCTAGGTTGTCAATTCCATTTCCTTAAATAATATGTTTTGCAAATGAAAATTAATTACGCATCTTATTTCGATTTCTTATGCATGTAGAATTTTGAGTAACAATAATCAAATTAGAAAATATAAACAAAACAATAGAAAAAAACTAATACTTTTAAGGGAAAGTTACTGATCAAAGAACACGATAATTTATAAAAGGACGCGAGGATGTGGTTAGTCAACAAAAAATGGAAACAAATTTGGAAATGGAGTTATTAGAGTATTCGGTGTGTTATTAAATGTTATTTGAAGATGCCGTTAATCAATAAAAAATGGAAATAAATTTGGAAATAGAGATAAAATTAGTAAAGAGTTATTGGTTTTCTATGTTTGACAAACTGATTGATAAGCTAGATGTTAGCTTATAAACTAGTCGGTAGCTGATAAACAAATCATATTTGACAAAAACTAGTTGATAAGAATGTAAAATGATGAAAAAAGACATTTTGAAAAATTAATCAATTATAATGTTTTAAATTATAGTTGAGACAAATCTCTAATGATACAATATATTAACTAATACAAACAAGATAATAATAAAAAATATAACATATTGATTAAAAGAATTCAAATTGACTTTATATATATAGGGTTGGGTTCACGTGAGATCAAATGTTTTTCGTGAGACCCGTAAAACCAATTTATGTTGATCAAGTTTATAAGTTAAAGATCTAATGGTTTAAATTGCACGGTGGCAATTTTGTAATTATTGAGAAGTCTCATGGCGTTTGTGAATGTTCAGATCTGACAATTGTAGATCTAATCCAAGGGTTGAGAATTGGTCTTATGGGTCTCACGAAAAAGCCTTGGTCTCACATGATCCCAAGTCTATATATATATATATATATATATATATATATATATATATAGGGACCTAATCAAATGAGAACTAATTAGTTT